GCCCTGGGCGCCCGCGCAGCCTCTCCGTCCTTTCTCCCGGCAGCTGCGGCGGCCCAATCCCCTTAACCGTATTCGCAGCCTGGCCTCCCGGCGCCTTTCCTGGGGCTGTCCGGAGGCCGTGGCCGGGCAGCTGTTGCGCCGAGAGGGGGCAGCTGCGGAGTTCCATAACCATAGCAACCGCATCAGCACCACGGCGGCGGCAGCGGCGCGAGGGCAGCATCCTCTCGCTCCTCCTCCAGGCAGCCTCGCCTTGGGGACCTGAGACCCAGCTCGCAGGTGCCGCGGACTCCTCCGTCCGCCACCGCTGCTGCAAGTGTCGGCGGCTGGAGAAGGCAAAAAGAGGAGGGTGACAGGCCCGGAGCCAGCCGAGCTGGGCCCTAGGAGGTGAGAGAGGGGAGCCCTGCAGTAGGAGACAGGTAGGTGAGCGAGCTCCGGGGTCTGCAGCTGCAAACTCTCTGTGGCAGTGACGTTTCTGGAAGCGTGGTTGCTAGTTGGATGGCTTTCTATTACTGAACGGGGATTCTGCCGCGAAATGTGGTTGATCTTCTGTTTCCTCCAATCTTTCTGTCCTTTGATCTTGCCACACATCTGGGCAGGTCTTCCAGCGGGCACGAAGGGGCTTCGTGGTGATGGGTGAGGAGATGCTAAGTTAATGAGGTGGTCTCCACAGAAGTCTCAGGTAGTGCCTGAGGGGGCACATCCGGACCCCTGTCCACCCAGTTCCTCTGAGCTGAAGAAGACCATGCTGGGGCAGAGGGGGCAGTGGTAGCCACTTTCTGGTGGTCCAGGCTGACTCAGAAACCTGTTCTTTCCTGTGGCTTGGTTTGGGGCAGAGGTTGGGGGGAGGCACTGCAGCTCAGCTATGACATGGAAGGGGACCAGAGCATACACCAGCTCTTCAACCATAAAGACAGCTTCCAATCCAGCCACTGGAGGGGATGTGCAGACAAGGAAAATAGTAACTCTTACCATTTGGACACCAGGGGTATCTCTGGAGTTTTTCATGCCGTTAGCATTGACTCTTGGCGATGGGGTGGGAGTAGAAACACATCCTTAAGCTAGCAGTCAAGATTGCCCTCTCCCCTTCTCTTTACCTTACTGCCAGTTAAACCAGAAGTGCATGGAGCACAGTGTCTCCTTCGCCCCTTGGCCATTGGCAAACTGGCCCACTTTCTGAAAATCAAAAAAAAATCCCACTTCAGTTCTCCTTTTGAACTGGGGTGGGGGATTATTTTCTATCAGGTTGGAATGCTCTTGATGTTCAGTGATATTTCAGAGCCCAGAGGCACCTGGGCTATCCATACTGCATGAGGGAGTGTTAACTACATCTGTAGGTCAGAGGTTAGAACAGAATTCCAAACCGAGCTCAGCTGGGAACAGGGCCCCAGAAGACCCTAAGAGCAGGGAGGTTTGGTTAGGTGAGTAATTTGGGTCTGAAAGCTCTTTCATATAGGTAAGTAGGTCTCTGGGTAATTTCCAACATGGACAGCCGTTGACTTTGAAAGGGTTCTCCCTTTATATCCTGGCCTCAGGAGACTGTGGTAAGTCCCAGTTAAAAGGCTGTGTTCTTTAATTGGGCTTTTAATTTATGATGTAGTTATATTACCTGAGGGGATGTGAGTTGGCCAGCATTTCATCTGGGGATTTATGTCATAATGAGGACAATATTGCCATATTGTAGCAGACGGTAAGATATAGAGGAAAAAGGACAGGATTTAGAAGTCAGAAAACAGGGGTTTGAATTTTAATTTCACCACACACTTGCTGTATGACCTTGAGTTGTTCCAGTTGCTCAGATTTCTTTCTCTCATCTGTGGAATGGGATGCTAAGACTCGTTGCAGTTCACCGGTCTCTTGTAACTATCAAGTGGGATGATAGAGAGGGTGGATGGAAAGGACTTTTAAAAACCTAATGCCTTGTGCAAGTAAAATGTATTATCGTCATCTCACAAAGAAATCACCTTTCTCAGATCAGCAAATCATCTAACAGTTGTGGGAAGGCAGTGGCTATATTATTCGGTGACTCATGGTTGAAACACCGTAGTCTGGTCCAAGATACACTCAGGGCCATATAAAGAGGGCTTTATTGGGGGAATATGCTGCATGTCATCCTTCTTGCTTACAAGAGCTGAAGGTCAAGAGTTTTGCCATCATGTGCAGTACTTGTCTAGTTTGACACAGTGAGGTCTGCTTACCCCAGAGTGGAAATAAGCAGCTGATCATGTAAACAGACTTGCACAGAGTGGGATTTCACTTAAAGGTTGGTTAGATGGATACATTGGATACATTGTAGGCTTCTTTTAGGCAGGATCCCCTTCATCCAACTCTGCTCTGTAATGCCAGAGCAGAGTTTACCAAATGTTTGCCTATTTTGGTGAAATTGAACACTTGCCCCTTGATTTCCTTGCTGGGGGAACTGTAATTTCAGGAAGAAGCCTATGCTGTGTTATATCTTCCCTGATCTTTTCTACTCCTTTGTTTGCTCATGCTGGTCCCTGCAGAGATAGACCATTTCTTACTTCTTTCCACCCTTAATGACCTGATTCAGAGCCTCCCTCCTGTGGGACACCTTTCCAGGGTCTCTCTCATGTGCTTCTATGACACTTTGGATCTGTTTTGCGACAGGTTGTGCTGTGTCATTGCTTGCATTCATCCTGGTCCCCTCTTTTAAATTCTGTGCTTCCTGAGGGCAGGGGCCTCCCCCTATCCTACCTTGGCTGTGCCAAGCACCCGGTGCAGCAAATACCATGGAGAATGAGCTGCGTGATGGTCGGACCTTACCTGCAGCCTGACCACCTGTACAGGAAGACCATTACGGAGGCTGTCCCTGGCTGCTCTCCCTGTCGATGTGCAGAATGCCTGGGTTATTGGGCATCATTTAGGGTCAATCTACTGAAGCGGAGCCAAGGAGAACAGAAACACATACTTTGCCTCAAAATGCTCATTTTTTTTTCAAGTGGGCACTTTAGAATAGCTGTAATCTGGTGTTGAATGGCCTTCATATAACATTTGCTGAAAACCTCCAATAGAATATTTTAGACTTAAAATGTGTTTCTCTCCCTTCAGTTTCTTTCCTTGATTTCAACTCCTATAAATGGGAAAACATATAAATTGAATTTAAAAGGTCTAGGTTTGAATCTGTTCCAAAAGAATGTGGAACTAGGGCCCTTGATCGCCTTGTGCCTCAGTTTCCTCACTTATAAAAATGTGATTATTAATGCCAATCTCACAAGGAGACTAAGCACTTGGAGTGAGTTGAAAGTAGGATAGTAGAAGCTTTTAATAAACTGTAAAATATTCTACCCCAATATATATTTTTTTCTTTTCCTTAACTTTTGTTCTAGAAAATGAGCAAAATCCCTCTGCCTAATTATGTAGCATCAGACAAAATGAGCTTCAAATCCAGGCTTCTCCTCTCATTAGCTCTGTGTGACCTTCAGGAAATCATTTTGCTCTCTCAGCCATTTGCTCTATCTGCATAGTATTATGATGACAGCTACCTTTCCAGGTAGGTTGGGGACATATACACTAAGAAAACAGGCATGTAATTTCCAAATGCTAGATACAGTTGCCCATAATAGAAAATTCCAGAATATTTTTAAATTGTCAGATTACATTTCTTCCCTGAACTTCACCTACCTTTACTAAGGAAATAGATAACAGTACCCACCCCCCGCCCCAAGTCTCCTTTTTGTTAGGTGTATAAGGTTCCGTGAGGAGTGAGGTAAGCTAAAGATTCAGATCCAGGCACTGAGTCCCCCTGTGACAGTGACTGCCTAGCTCTATATCAGTGTTCATCTCTGCTGATCTATGTCCTCCTCACCCAGGTGACATCTGTAGCTCTCTATCTAGCCTTTACTTAGAGGCTCTTAGTTTTACACTCCAGTGTGCTCTATACCCATACCTCCATCACCAAATTTCTCTCCTTTTTGAATTTTCCCAGCCAGATGCTTCCAGAGTTTCCAAAGCGATTCTGAGCCTTAAGAGTTGTTGAACGCCCACCTCCATCTCTCCAGCCCAAGACCCATTCTTGTCTTCCTCCAGGCAGGAAGTTTGGCTGCTGTATCCAGCCTGGAAGGTCTTTATTCCACACAAGCACCTGTCTTACCTGAGAGGGCTGGCGGAAATTCATGACATTGCTGGTATCAGCTGAGCTTGCCAGACACTGGGTGCTCAGCAATGTCAAGTGTTTCTGCTCAAACATGAAATTTTTCTAGGTGGCTGCACAGCCATGTCAGGAGTGATTGTGGATCGGGGGGGGGGGGCTCAGATCTCAAAGGAAACTGGATCTGTGAGCACAGGCTCTGTGACCCTCTGCTCTGGTGTAGATGGAGTGGCACTCTGACACGTGGGGTACGGGAAATGTGCCTAAGTGACCTGCCTTGTGCCACTCATCATGCCAGACCCTGGAAGTCACTCATGAACAAGGCAAGGTCCTTGCTTTTCAAGGGGTAAGAGGGATGTCCTTGGGGGATCAGAGATGGAAACTGATGAGAAGGAACCAGATGGTGCTCAGGGTGTGGCATGTGGAGTCAAGACAAGGACTTCTGACCCCTTTCCTGGGAGGGATGGTCAAGGATGGCTTCACAGAACAGGAGTCTAAGCTGATGTCTTGAACTTCCCCGTGGAGAACAGAGGAAAAGAAAGCCAGCGGAGGGGGTACCACGCAGGAGCTGGAGGCAAGAGCACTAGGGAGGGCGGCGTGAGGCTGGGAGAGGAACAGGGCTGGTCTCCCAGCGTTCCCTGAGCCAGTCTGCAGGCTCCTCCCCTCACCAGGAACCACACCAAGGCTTGGAGTTGGGGGAAGTTGCTTCCAGCTGCACAGTGGAGGCCAGACTGGGGGAGCTGGATGGAGCGAAGAGTAGGTGGCCTCAGAGCCTCTTTGCTGATCAGAGGCCCCTGAATTCAGGGATGAGAGCTGGGACGAGGAGAGGGGATGCATAGGAAATGGTGTGGGAGGGAGGAAAGGAAGTGAGCACACGCGTCACCTCTCAGGAGGATGTCCTGGGACACTCTAGGGACTTGGTACCAGTGATGCGGGCCAGGGGGAGCTCACAGGTGGCACTGTCACAGGTGGCACTGGGAGTTACTTTCCATCCTCTCTTTCCAGGCTCTCTCTGGCTCTCTCAGGCCCCACAAGCCAGGCTTTCACCCAACCTCCCCACCTGGCCCTGCGCTCTGCCTGGGGCAGCCAGGGAGACTGCAGGGAACCAGAACCGCGTCACCTTCATCTGCTCCAAGCCCTGCATGGCTCCCTTCCCAGGCTGCTGGCGGCTGCACCCTGCAGGACCTCAGCCCTTCCACCCCAAGTGCTGCCATGGCTCTTCCTCCTTCTCCCAGACCCGCCTGCTGCCCCCACTCTGGCCTCCTTCCCACCACTTCCTCCTGGGATGCCTCCTCTCCAGTAACCACATGG